GAAACTTTCATCACCCTACTAGGCGACATCTTCAGCGCATACTTCAATTTGAAGTGAGCTTTTAGATTTCTCCATGAGTTTATTAGCCATCTCTCCTGGTGACCTTATTAATTATCTCCTTGGAGAGATGATTAATAAACTCGTGGAGAAATCTAAAAGCTCACTTCATCAAATTGGAGTATGCTCTGAAGATGTCGCCTAGTAGGGCGATGAAAGCTTCGCAAATTAAACTATCCAGCTCAGAGAACACACCCACATCAACATCATCCACCTGAGCTACAAATCTTCTCTATCATATCTAAGTATCATTAATCTTAAAGGTACTGATGTACCCTCAGATATTGTAACCCGTTTCACCCAATTTTATAGTCAGAGACGTTACTGCTGAGCTATTACTGCCAGTGACTGACCTCCTATACTCATGTATTGGCTACATTTACTGTTAATTGGATAGTAGTTAATATCATTTATCTACTAGGCCTTAGTGATAACTGAATTCTATCGGTAAGGTTTGTGATGTGTTCACCAAGACACCTGATTCAACATTAGATTGGAGATAAATGTACATGAGTTGATAACTGACTATACGCCTAGCCCTAATAATATGTATCAGCTTTTCAAAGGTAGATTGCTAGCCATCCCCGTGCGTGGTACGAGGTTCAAATCTCAGCCGACTCACTCTTAAACTTCAATAAGCTTGTAGTAAGCGTGCAGTAAAGAGGGTACGTTGAGCATAAAATTAACAACCCCACCCAGTAAAAATAACGCAGCCACTGCTACCGAAACTTAAGGTCTAAAGCTTGAGGCCTTATGTTCCACCGGGAATGGGAAGGAATATAAACAACAAATAGAAAACTGATACTACTGAGTAGAAGACCTCTGAACAAAATCAGCAGGTTTATTTCACGGTGTCTACACTGTTTCTGTTAATAAAACTAATGAAGAACTACAATGTACTGCATTTTAATGTAAGCCATTACAAATCATTTAATTTAATTTAGGTTTCCCCGTCGATTGACTGGACCAAAGTGCTCGGTCTCAGGTTGACATGTCGGCTTCTTGTGCAGATGCTTCGACGATGTCTGAGCATGTCACCTAAAGTCAACTGGTGGGTGATGAATAGTAGTGGAATCAAGGATGTGCGTTTCGTCCTATTTGGGACTCGCTATCTGGATGTACCTGCATTGACATTATAAATCAGTTGTCAAGAAACTGAGATTCAAATGCACGCTATGGCTATTTATAATAACTGACGTAGACGTCAACTTTGGACACTATGGTAGAATATAATTCCGTATTAAATAGTTTTTCTTGATTTAACAAACACTGATGGAGTTTTAATGCCTGAATTACGTTCGGAGCACATTTCCTCGCTAATAGTCTTAACAGTGTAGTAATCACACGACTTTATGGCTTGCTTTATATAATCTTTCCATTCCTGTTTTGTGTATGAATGTGTTATTCCGTATGTATTCGGTACTGGTGTTGCGCCATTTCCGTTACTTGTGTAGGATGTTGATGTTACCAGTAAATATTCAATACTAATTCTCCTTCCATCTCTCTCTCTCCACTCAACTATGTTACTTTTGATTACTTCATCCCTGTGTCACCCTATTATGTAAGTATATCCCAGTGAATGTATTGCAAAGGTGGAGCATTTTTTCTGAATTATTTACTATCCTCCATCATTCTAGGTGTAGCTGAATTCATATATTTCGATAATCTGATTAACTGCAATCTACTAGTTTGACCTATGCAACTGACCACACACTTATTAAACATAATATTTTCTCAATTATATAATTATTTCCCAGTTGGATCTATCGTGTCCTTAAGCCCACAAAGTTTATCTCTGAATGCATTGGTAGGTTGAAATAACATCTTAATTCCAGCCTTAGCGAGGCGTTTGGAGTAAACACAGGAGTCAGACAAGGCTGCTAGCCTATTATCACTAATGATATTCCTAATTGTGATGGACTGGATTATGCGTCAGACAGTGGGAAACGAGAAGACAGGGATATCCTGGACCGACGTGAAGAACCTAGAAGACCTGGATTTCGCGCCTGGATGATTTATGTTTGATGTCACACAAAATCGAAGATTTACAAGTGAAAAACGACACACTGGTCGAAGAAGCAGCAAAGACAGGACTCCATGTGAACATAGACAAGATGGAGGTTATGAAAATAATCAACCAACAACAACAACAGCGTCAGCAACATCCAGCGCTAATCACCATCAACGGGAGGGATTTGAAAGAGGTTACTTCTTTCACTTATCTAGGGAGCATTGTCTCAACTACAGCAGGAACGGACGAGAATGTCAAATCGAGAATCGGGAAGGCGAAAAACACATTGATCAACCTGAAACCAATCTGGAAATCTTCGTCACTCAGCCTGCATCAACAACAAAATTCGGATTTTCAATACAAACGTCAAGTCAGTCAGTTCTTCTATACGGATGGATCAGAAACTTGGCGGCGGGTCACAAAGAATATTTCCAACAGCCTGTTGCAGACCTTTATCAACAGCTGTCTTCGCTCTATACTGAAGATCAGATGGCCGGAAAGAACAAGAACCAACAAGAAACTATGGGAACAAACAAAACAAGAATCAACCGCCCAACAAATATGCAGGAGAAAGTGGAGATGGATTGGACACTCGCTGAGGAGGCCGCTGGGTGACATCGCGCGTCAGGCCAGTGCTCGAGTGGAACCCGAAAGGGAAGCGGCGAGTGGGATGTTCAAGGGTGATGTGGAGGAGACCGTTTGAAGAAGAGTTGAAACAGTATGGACTAACATGGATGCAGGTGACAAGTACAGCAGAAGACAGAAGCAAGTGGAGACGTGTAGTTGAAGCCCTATGTTCCACTAGGAACCCAAGGGAACAATAATAAATATATAGTAATCATTCCAGCCTAATGAAAAATCATATGTGGGACTCCTGATGTCCCTTTTTACATGACAATAGTACAGATGCTTTGAATTCTTTATTTTTTTTTGCGCTATTTACATTCCTTTGCCCTACTGGTTATCCCCCCGGCCCGATTATGTAGGTAGACATTTAACTAAACGTATCTTTGCAGATTCTGCATGGGATAAATCAAAGCTCAAATACTTGTCAGAGTATTATATTCACTTATAGATACTAGTATCTTCCTGAGTTTATATGTGAAAAAAGTCAGGTTCAAGGCTTTCTGTCGATTGCCTCCAACTATCTAATATCAACAGCTCAATGTACGCCATGATGGTGAGCCACCTGGCAGAATTCAGTCTGAGCTGAACAAAACACTAGACACACGACATAATTTAACTAGTGTCCAATCAAAAATATCCAATACAGTTCTACAGGGGGTCAATCGCGAACCGGAATAGCTCAGTGGTAACGTCTGTGACTGCAGGCGGTACTGGTTGACACAGGTTCGAATCTCAGAAGGGACTTGAGTTCCTTCAACGTTGCAGATACGCCTTGCTGACTGGTGAGTGCCAACTAGCACGAAATCTAGTTCCAAGGCTCCCTGTCGATTACCTCTAACCATCTGTTTTCATCAAATCAGGTTAATTATAGAGAAGATTTGTAGCTCAGGTGGATGACTTCCAATTAGTAGTGTTCTCTGAGCTGGCTGATTTAGTTGCGGAGCTTTCTGAGAGACGAAACTCTATCACTCATGGAAAATTTAAATCAGTTCACTTTGTGCCAAAAATTGAGCTGAAGATGTTGTCCAGAAGGACGATGAAGGCTCCGTAACTAAACCAACCAGTTCAGAGAACACTACTTATTGCAAATTTCCTCAAAGTCTGTGTGGAGGTCAACAGCACTCAGCATCAAAAATAAGATCCGGATTTTCAACTCCAATGTGAAGTCAGTCAGTGCTACTTACTATACGGATCAGAGACTTGCACTGCGCGTCATAAAGAGCATCTCAAACAAACTACAGACCTTCATTAACAGTTGTCTTCGCTGAATACTCAAGATCAGATGGCCAGCCAGAAAAGATCAGCAACAGAGATCTCTGGCAATGAGCGAACCGACCAGGAACCGATTGTGAAACAAATAGGCAGAAAGAAATGGAGATGGATTGGTAGCCATACTCTGAGGAAACCATCAAGTGACATCACTAGACAAGCCATTGGTCGAGTGGAACCCGAAAGGGAAGCGGCGACTCGGTCGTCAGTGCAAGGGTGACTTGGAGGAGGTCATGTGAATAGGAGATGAAAACGTGTGGGCAGACATGGAGCCAGGTGAAGACTGTAGGAGAGAACCGAACGCAATGGAGACGTACGGCTGAAGCCCTATGTTCCTCTAGGAATTAAAGGAAATAGTAATAATATAATAATACAACGAAGTAAATGTCTCATGCACATGTCTCCACGTGAGATTTTAGAAATCTTAGAAAGAAGATAACACCTTATTTTACAGATTTTGAAACAAGTACTATCCATAAATAATTAGATGATCTTGTGAATGTGAAACACACTAGTGAAATGGATCTATCTACTTCATCAATAAAGACACAATAATTTCTATGATAAAGTTTCAAGTTTATACCATTTAGTCGATAATGACCATCTTAAACTTCATTTTTATTTTCAAGTAACTCTCAGCCTATTCTAATGATTAACCTTTAAACCTTTCAATGCGTAAATATAACTCATCGTAAGGACGTTAAGTTAATGTACAATGTTTAGAATAGCAACGCTAATTATGATAAGTGTGTTCTTCTAATCAGTTCAAGAAATGTAACCTGATAACCTTGTTACAAAAGCCAATCTTACATACTTCATCACTACGTGAAGTATGTTCATGATCTGATAAGCTGTGCTAAATTAAGTGTAGACATTTGAATTTATAAGAGGAAAGAAAGTAAGTCATGAACTTAGTTGTTCCGCTTTCGTTTGTTAAAAATAACCTCGTGAGATGCTTATCTGTCTCTGCCTGTCTGTTCTTGGTAAACATAAGGTCATGTTGTTTACAATGGTTGTGTTAAGATGATTGATCTGCTTATTTTGACCCAGTTTGTAGTCTAGTCGCTTTGATTTAGAAAAAAAATAAATAAACTATACTTCTCTCTACGTTTTTCTTATAAACGAGAATCCGTCATGTATCCTTTTGGTCTATGTACTGGTATCTGTAGAGTAACACGCTACCAGCCAGGTTTCACTAGATTGCTAACTACTAACTGAGAAACGTCTAAGCATTCTGAGCTGTTTATTTGAAGAGATTTGAGGGATTTCAAGAATCCAGGTGGAACTGATTAGTTGTTTCGTCCTTCAGATTTGCGACTCTTCACAGTAGGCACCCATGCACGTAGCAGGGATTGAACTCATGGGTTATAAGGTGAACTCGTTGACCTTTAACCTATTGGTAGGGAATCTATTGTCCCGCCTTCGGATTCAGACTTCAGTCAACCTCCTGCCAATAGCATCGTTGAGTACCAGTTCTCACACCCAACCAACCAGGCTTGCCTCATCACCTGAAGATCCCGGGCTCATATTGCTAGGCGTTTCCAAAGTAGGACGAAACCACTATTCAGTACTCTCTCTGGTTTTCAGCAGTTCTCCAAATGGTGTCAGTTAGTGGTCAAACTTCAATTCCTAGCATTCGTTATATCATCTATGCTGAGCGGTGAGTGGGGCTACACTGATTTTGGGTAGTGGAAATTATTATAGAAATATGGGCTCATGAGCACATATAATAAAGATTCATAAATATCTAGTTTTCAAGGTGTTAATAAAGTAGATAAATTTGGTGGGTCATAACAAGATAAGCAACACAAACTGTCAATGAAATGATCTTCCTTTCTCTAATTTATTAAGATAACTAGGATGAGATGAAAACTTACTAACAATCATCTTTGCCATATAAATCATTTTTTATTTATAACAACACTTGTGCTTAGTTGTCCTTTCCATTTTAGTTGAGGTCAATATTTAGACAGACTGATTCTTGTCTAGTTTGCTCACAAGGAGCCTACTTTGAGACTCTTCATCTGTACGTATTGAAGATCCTAACGAAAATTGAAGCCGGGACCATTCAGTCATAGAACGAATAGATTCAACAGACAATTTATTCTACCTTTGGTCACTACACGACATAGCTTTTCTGTGAACCGATGTCATCGATGAGTATCTGTCCTGACACTTCATATGACTGACCAAACCAGTCATAACATCTAGGTAGTCCATTAAGTGGTCAGTAACCAATGAAAAGCGGAATAATTTGAGTGAATGACAGATTTTAAGGCAGATATCATCACAGACTGACATCAGATAGAGAACTATTAAGACGTGGTTGCAGGATTTCATCATGAGCTGATATTGGTTGGAGAACCATTGCAAAACCTGCAGGGAGTGCTGGACAGCTGTTTCGTCAGCCTAGTTTGGGACTCTTTAGCAGTACATACCCACCCGGGCTGGAACCCAGTACCTTCTGATTACAAGGCAAGCTCGTAGACCTTTAGGCCACTGGGACCTGATCCAACGGCCCATGAATTCTAACTTCTGCCAAATCACGACAATTCTCCCGAAGACATTGGCTAGGGGTCGCGCTATGCCGTGAACTGGCAGAAGTTAGAATTCATGTGCCATTGGATCTTGTCCAATAGCTTAATGGTATACGAGCTCGCCTTGTAATCAGAAGGTCCTGGATTCGAACCCCGGTGGGTGCGTACTGTGAAGAGTCCCAAACTAAACTGACGAAACAGCTGTCCAGTACTCCCAGGTTTTCCAGTGGTTCTCTAACCAATGTCAGCTCATGATGAAATCCTGTAGCCAATCAAATCCCACCAAACCAACACTTAAATATTGAGAAGTGGGTTAATTTTTAATTGCAGAACTCGGAGACAAATAGTTTTAAACATAATACCTTTCAGCTACTCAATTCAACTTCAAAGGCTGTCTAATAATCCAGTTTACGCTTACAATTTACCAGTTAGAGGTTATATGTCAAATGTTTTGTGCCAAAATTGAAAAAAAAATGGGTGTGGTGTAAGAAATCTCACTGAACTTTATTATCATTACTGCGCATTCCTTTGCGTTCAGGTGCAATTTTCAGTAGGAGTGGTGTTATTTTTATGGGGTAGAGTTGGTAGTCTCAAACTCGACCTTCCACCTTTTCCGGCCTAACTATCAGCTAGCAAGGTTTAGAGGTGTGCAGGCGGGAAATGGAACCTAGATGAATTAACTATCTTTAACCATTTATCTGAAATAAAGAATGTTTACCATTGTATTAACCAACAAAGACCATATCAGCTCTGTGCCGAAGAAGATACTTTACATGAATGGGATGTTAAATGGCGACCTTCTGGTGGACACTCTGAAGACGAGAATGTCTAACACCCTAAAATGATAATTCTTTGCTGCTGTATTACGACTGATATTCTCTTGCCGCTAAATGTTCTTCAACAACTCCAAAGATAAACTATCCCATTTGACCACTTCTATGTGTGTCTACCAATTCAACTGCTCATGTGGAGGGAGATATATATGTCGTTCAATGAGTGTCTTATCTAATAGAGACAAAGAACATTATCCTGCTGGACTACAGAAAGGTAATAGTGGATCAAGAAGGAGTCTTATAATTGAACATATACTCAACACTGGTCACTCAATATGTGGGGAGAATTCATTCAAAGTTATCTGCACAGTCTGAAGAAACCTCCCGAAAACAGTAAGCTTCCGTATACTTGGCATTGCCGAGGCATTTAGGATTCGGATGGAGAACCCTGATTAATGCAGTCGGAACTTCTCCTCCCCCTCCTTCTACCTTGGGTATAATTCCAAATTCAACTATTTTGTCATCAATACTATCGTGTGTATTTAAAATACGACATTTTCGTAACACCAGTTTTATAAAACTAACCTTCCATTTTCTGTTTTTATCTACTACATAATTTCTTTTGGACACTTGTCTTCATCCTCTTTCATTAACATTCTATTTTCTGGGTGTCTTTCAGATTACTCGACCCCTGTTGGTACTTATCAATCTGCACTTCCCTAGTTACAATTTGACTATTCATCACATTTTTGAAACATTTTAATGACGGAAACAATAACTCTTACTAATTTTTATTTTTGTTTGACAAACCTAATGTACACACACACACACGCAGAAATAGTTATATATGAACGCGACTGTACAGCTAAGTGAATGAATTAGCCGAAGGGAGACTCTCCGCCAAACCATTTGTTCTTATTTCATTGTTTTAACAACTTAAACAGTTTGTTCCTGTAGTTTTTATAAACACACCAGCATAGTATAAGTAAATATTTACAAATCATTTATGATAGTTAAGCAAAACAATGAAGAAAACAAAACAAAACAACAACAAACAAACAAATTCAACCTACCTGCTAAAACATACACCAATGAACCAAAATCCCCCTCATTGATAATCATTTCATCAGCTGTGAAGTCGATACTGTACATACAATCAATAAGTTCAGTTAGCTGAGTCGATGCAATATGATTCATAAAATCATTCTCCATAATTGCAACTCTAAGCAGTTTACGAACACTATAGAAATTTAAAAACAATAGACATAAGGAATCAAGTTTAAATACATCACTTTCAGCAACAACAGCAACAAACGAATTTATGTAATTATATGAAGGAAATTAAACTTCGAGCTATAAACATCACGATATTAGGTAAGATAACATACCAATATTATATATGTACATTAAACTATGGAGAAACAATTTATCGGCTTAACCACATGTCCCGGTGGCGTACCACCAGGTGCATCGGTAGCCCAGCGTTTAGGACGCTCGCCGACCATGGTCCGGGGTTTGATCCCCGGCCGACGACGCACTGCTTTACTTCACTAAGCCAGAAATAACGCTGGTAAAGAGGAAAGGTTGAGTATGAGGCTAGCAACCCCATCCTGTAAAAATAAACACCACTGCTACAGAAACTTCAAGCCTTTAGCTTGAAGCCCTATGTTCCACTGGTAACGTGAAGAAATAAAAAAATAAAAAACCCACTTGGCTCTCAGCTAGTGAGTCCCATCTGCTTGAGTCTACGCAGCTGGGTATTATCTGAAGACCTCATGGACTGAAACATGGAAAAACTTTCCCGCCCAGCACATGAAACTCTAAGTAAGGGAATATTATTCAGGAAACACCGATTAGTTTTGATGGATGTATAGAAAATGAGTACAGCTAAAAACAATCAGTGGATTGCGAAGGTGATTCAGAAGCGAATACCAAAACGTTCACTGATAAAATCGATATGCTTTTTAATGAAGCCTTTTTGAAAAGGATAAAAAAATGATGACCTACACATCAGCCACCCCGCGGAAACAGTGGGATATTGGTTACTTTTCAACAAAGTCATTGTGTAATAAGGTTATTCCACAGAAATATTTCACATGATTCATACCGTATTTTAGGATGTCAAGGCAGGTATCGAAAAGGCAAGGCAGGCATTCATCACTCTGAAATCAATCTGCAAATCTTTCGCACGAAGCGTCAAGAAGTGAATTTGGATTTTTAACACTAGTGTTAAGTTAATCAGTCCTTCTATATAGGTCAGAAAGCTGGCACTTCACAGAAAGTATTTCCAGCAGGCTACTGGATTCTTTGTCAGCAGCTGCCTTTGCTGGCATCATACTGAAGATCAGATGGCTAGCCAGAAATAATTAGCAGCAAGAAACTCTGGGAACGAACTTGTCAATTCGTATTGCTTAAAACATGTGCCGAAGAAAATGAAGATGGACGGGAGACCTACTGGGAAGACCGTCGAATGAAATCGTACGACTGATATTACCACGAATGGAACCCAAATGGTAAACGACGAGTTGCATATGGATCCGAGGGTGACATGGAGAAGGTAGTATGAGGAGAAGGAGAGGAGAGACTCTGGGCAATCTTGGGACTAGATAAAGAAGACCGCATAGAATAGGACAAAGTGGAGATGTGGTGATGAAGCCATGTGTTCCACTTGGAACCCAAGGGAACAATAATAATAATAATGATTCATTTAAGCTGTTGTCACTGGAGTAGCTAATATCGTCAACTTATCTAATGACAGAGAATTACATCATTTAACACAATGATTGCAGTACTCATATATGAATTGAAATCACCTGTAATTTGCTTAATCCATCGTATTTCTTCAACAGGTTTCGGTTAATGTATATACCATTTACTAAATCAGTGAGACTCGTTGGCGGAAGTTAGGATTCATGGGCTATCGGCTAAATGGTCTACCGGCTCGCCATGTAAACGGAAGGCCCTAAGTTCGAACTCTGCTGGTGAGTGCGTGCTGATGAGGAATCCCGAACTAGGAGCTGCCCAGTACTCCATGGTTCTCTAAATGACGTCAGTTCGTGACAAAACCTGTAACCTATTAAGTCTCTTGCTTAAAAATGAACACAAGAAGAATGGCGAAGATAGCAACTATGGTATTCTTTTGAAATTATTCTAATGACTAGTTTACTATATTCATCAGATCAGATGGCCAGAAAAGATCAGCAACAGGGATCTTTGGGAGCGAACCAACCAGGAACCGATTGTGAAACAAATAAGCAGGAAGAAATGGAGATGGATTGGCCATACTCTTAGGAAACCATCAAGTGACATCACTAGACAAGCCATTGCTCGAGTGGAACCCGAAAGGGAAGCGGCGAGTTAGTCGTCAGTGCAAGGGTGACTTGGAGGAGGTCATGTGAATAGGAGATTAAAACGTGTGGGCAGACTTGGAGCCAGGTGAAGACTCTAGCAGAGGACCGAACTCAATGGAGACGCACGGCTACAGCCCTATGTTCCTGTAGGAATTAAAGGATACAATAATAATATAATAATAATACCAGTCTTCGTAGTTCTTATCACTGAGATAAACGATAGACAGAAAATCACATCAGTACGAAGACATCGAACTTGAATTATGACAATAAGCCACCTGTTATTTGGATCTCATTTTGGTATTAATTCATACTGCTTTTACTTTAGTGTTTCTACTAAGATTTACTGAAATTTTATGGGCTAATTCATGTGAACTGTTTTTGTCACTTTATAACAAAGAAAAATATTCAGTTCTTGTATTTAAAACAATTTCTAATATCTTTAAATTTTCCCATGAAATTTTGTTTTGTACTTTGCTAAGTACATGGTGTGTACTTTATCTAAGCTGGGTTATTTTAAGATCTAGAAACCTTTATTTTAGTGTATATTTCTGATAAATATTATTCGTCTCTAGATGACCATTATTACCTCCTCTCTTGAACAGGTCAGGCTTCAGAACCGACTTAATTAAGACTATCCATTCAGCTGGACTACTTCACGATTTGAATCCATCCAATTATCTTAACTTTTTACCCCCTTCTTATTAATTAAATCAACTTGTTCTGGTAGAATTGTCCTACGAGGAGGAGTAATGTTTTGTGATATACTCTCCAGAAAACATCTGCGAAGTGAATTTAAAGATTGTTCGTTAACTGGTGGATGGTGACTAGCAGTGGAATACAAGGAGCACATTTCATCCTGATTGAGACTTGTCAACTAGATGTACCTGCATTCCACAGTGAGTGATGATGTTCCCACCGAGGAATGCAGGTACATCCAGTCGACGAGTCCCAAATGAGACGAAATGTGCTTCATCCTGGATTCCACTGCTAGTCACCATCCACCAATTAACTTCTAATTACATGCACAGACATCATCGAAGCATCTGCACAAGGAGCTAACAGATATGTCAGCCTGAAACCGATCACTTCGGTTCAATCAAAGATTGTTCGTCTAAAATAGTTTTGTGGAAGAATCATTTCAAGTAGGACAGGAAATATTTCTTTAAGAAACTATTGCCTGCTCTAGGCCTTCTATGCATGCATTTATGATGAATCTGAATTGAGGAGAACTAACTCTTTCCAAGCATTTTACCTTCACACTGTACAGTGAAGATATAGGTCATTGGTTACCGTCTCGTTCTACCTGCTTCCACCGGAGCAGCTGGGTAGTATAACGCAATGTTTGACTCAAAACCAGCTAAATGAAGGTTTTCTACCAACTAACTGGGTCTAAATAACATCTGTTCATTTCATGTATTTAATGAAATTATCAGTTCACATGCGAAAGCAATTTTAGTTTAATAGCCCTAAACTTTTGTGAATGCATCCATTTTTTCAAACCTTAAGAATATTGAATGAGAAGAACACGTTTTACTTAACGTTATGTTGGTAATTCACAGAGAAATCTGGATAAAAATGACTACATCATACTCCTTCCGACTAATGATTATGTGAAAATGGCTTCATCTAACCAAGATGTATGAAATCTTGGACCTCAGCAGGACTGGAGCGACTAGTTGTCACTCCAGAGATCGTAAATATTAATCACCACGGAATAATCGATAAGTCATTGCTAATGCTTCTCGTGCTCATGCACATGACTGAAATCTGAGCATCTATTTCTGAATAAAACACTCACTACTGAGATGAGTCCTTCCAGCATAAATTAGATCCACGTGCACTAGGAAGCACGAGTTACCAGTACATTTTTGACAGAACTATCAAGGACACAGATAGTTTCGAGTATATACATGTAATAAAGATGCAAATAACTCAGTTGTAATTGACAACCAGCCATGTATTCCACACTTCATTTCTAAATATTCATCAAATATTTAAGATGTTCACGTCAGCTAGATAATGAGTTAGTGGCTCATTAGTAGAATACTCGCCAGTCAAACAGGACATCCATCTTCTATTCCTGGCCGATGAACTCCCAAACCTCACCCAGTTTATCAGTCAATAGTAGGCGTGGAAGAAAGCGAATGTCGGGCTTGAGACTAGCAGCTCCACCCCTTAAAAATACAACATCACTGTTGCTGAGAATATAAAGCTCATTGCTTGTAATCACATATACCACTGAAAACTCATAGGTATGAAAAAATTTGGACATATTATTTGACTTCAGATGGAATGCATACATATAAATATATATAAACCCGATTGATGAATACAACCAACCAAGAACAACAACAACAAGCACCAGTCACCAACAAAGGAAGAAATTCGAAAAGGGTCGCTTCTTTCACGTATCTAGGAAGCATCATTTCTACTGGAGACAAGATGTCAAAACCAGAATTCGAGAAGAAAAACAGGTTTGGCAGCCCTCTCCATTCAGCATAAAGAGTGAAATTCGGATTTTCAACACCAATGTCAGTCACTTCTTCTGAATGGGTTAGAAAATTGGTGGTTGTGTCACAAAAAGCATTTTCAACAAGCTGAATACGTTTATCAACTGTCGCCTTCCCGGCTACATATTGAAGATTAGATGGTTAACGAGAAAGAATTTGCAACAAGAAACTGAGGGAATGTATTGTTCAACAAATATTCAGAATCAAATGAAGATAAATTGGAGACACAATGAGAAGACCATTGAATGACGTCGCATGTAAGGCCCTCGAGTGGAACTCTAGTGGAAAACTATGAGTTGAACATGGATCAGAGTATTATATATCGGGGAGATCGTACAAGGAGTAGATGAGAGATTATGAGCAATCATGCGAGCAGC